GTCAGTAGGCCTGTGTTTAAGTGGCTCCGGAAATATTTTTTTTTGCAGGGTTACTGGAACTTTTGGGATAAAAATTACTGCCTTGTGGCATGTTTCAACATGTAACTCCAGTGGTAGAATGAAATCCACTACTGATTCCTGTTGAGGAAGAAGATGTACCCGTTAGCCACTTTCCTATGATGAAGTCAGATGGATGTTTGAGTCCTACTCATGACTGGAACACTATAGATTATGTAATACCTAACTCTCAGAGATGCTGCACACTTGTGGGTTTTCTTTTTCCAGCAATGTGCTTGGCTCAGTCTCCCAGTGTCACTAAGTATTAATCAAATGCTACCTAGTATCTGTACAAAGTTAGTCGATTTACCCATTTTCCTAGGTCTCAATGTCCTCATACATAAAAGGTGTAATAGTAATTTCTCCCTTGTTAGATCTCTGTGAAGAATCTATTCAGATGTGTGAACAGACAAGTGTTGACCTAGTAGTTACAACACCTCTCAGGATATCCGCATCCCATATCAGCTTGTATGGCTCCACTTCCAATTCCAGCTTCCTGATAATGTGCACCATGAGAGGCAACTGATCACATCAGAAATACCTAGGTCCCTGCAGGGCATGGGAGAGAGGTAGAGACAGAGAGAGAGAGGTCTTCCATTCGCTGGTTCATGCCCTAGATGGTTGCAACAGCTGGAGCTGCGCCGATCTGAAGCCTGGAACTTCTTCCAGGTCTCCCACGCAGGTGCAGGGGCTCAAGGACTTGGGCCATCTTCCACTGCTTTCCCAGGCCATAGCAGAGAGCTAGATTGGAAGAGGAGCAGCTGGGACTCGAACCAGTACCCATATGGGATGCCGGCACTTCAGACTGGGGCTTTAACCTGCTGCACCACAGCACCGGCCCTCCCCCACACTCCCAGATTTATTCTTAAACCATAGTGCTGTTATGCTGTTAGTACAGTTAGCAGCCAACAATTCTTATCATCTGCTGTGGCTGTCTATATTGGTTTGCTTGATTTGGGTCTGAGAAGGTTACACTATGATTGGTATATTTGTTGTGTCTCTTATGTGAGTGCTTTGATGAAATGGGTTGGACCAGTGATTGTTGTTTGTCCTACTGTTTTCAGTATCTGTTTGATTACTGAGGGTATTATTGCTCTTATTTCTCTTTCCCACAGTTCCTTGCAAAGCATAAGTAAGCTTTAATGTTTTGATATATTCAAGTTTTTTTGCTTTTGTGTAATTGATTTTTGATTCCTCAGCCTAATATTTTAAAAAATTTAACTAACCATTGATGGATTTCTCTACCATCATTTAAAAATGCTTCTATTCTAAGCAATATGTTAACTTATTTACGATTTTTAGGTAGTTGGTAAAATAACCTAGTCCCTGAGTTTTTGTTTTTGTTTTTCTAAGCAGATTCATCTGTTGACTTTTGTTTACAACCTTGGATGAGTAACAAGGAAAACAAGGTAAACTTTATATTTTTTTTAGCAATTTTTAGAGTTTTGTGAGAATAAGTTCATATTTCACATATCCTATAAATGTTAAAAGGTTTCTATATAGGTATAGCAGAACTCCAACTGAGGTAGTTTCAGGAAAAATGGGAGTTTATGTCACGTTATGAGGAGTTTCAAGGGGGGGGGTGTTGTCATAGGGTGTGTGTATTCTTTTTTCCTTTTTTTGGGGGTGTGTGTGTGTATTCTTGGGATTGATGATATCATCAAGGCTCTCTGCATCTCTTTGTTCAGCTTCACTCTGTTCTGTCTCATCTAGCATGTTAGCTTCATGAAGGCAAAGATTTCTCTGTTTGCCCGTAACAGTTCTTGGTACATGATTTTCTGTTAATAATTTGTGAGATTGTTAGTGAGTTGTCTTCATTTGTAGAAACCCAAGTCTACACTCTTAACATTCATTGTCAAAAAAGAAGAGTATGATTTAGGATAAATGAGAAAGAGAGTTCTAATGGACTTACCCAGGTTATACATTCTTCTCTATGATAATCACTGGGCCAGTGATTGGGTTGGGATAGGTATAGATGTCCCTCAGTATCTGGGTGGGATTGGTTCCAGGACTCATGCAGATTCCCAGAATCTGCAGATGCTCAGCCTACCATGAGATGGTGTAGTGTTGGTATAGAATCTATGTACATCCTCTAGATTTCTTTTTTATTTATTTATTTATTTATTTATTTATTTATTTATTGGCAGAATGGACAATGAGAGAGAGAGACAGAGAGAAAGGTCTTCCTTTGCTTTTGGTTCACCCTCCAATGGCTGCCGTGGCCGGCGCGCTGCGGCTGCCGCACCGTGCTGATCCGATGGCAGGAGCCAGGTGCTTCTCCTGGTCTTCCATGGGGTGCAGGGCCCAAGGACTTGGGCCATCCTGCACTGTACTCCCGGGCCACAGCAGAGAGCTGGCCTGGAAGAGGGGCAACCGGGACAGAATCCGGCGCCCTGACCCGGACTAGAACCCGGTGTGCCGGCGCCGCTAGGTGGAGGATTAGCCTAGTGAGCTGCGGCGCGGGCCCATCCTCTAGATTTCTTATAAAACTTAATATGTTGTAAATTGTATGTAAATAGTTTGTATTGCTTAGGGAATAATGATAAGAAAACAAATCTTGGGCTGGCGCCGTAGTTCACTAAGCTAATCCTCTGCCTGCGGCACCGGCACCTGGGGTTCTAGTCCCGGTCGGGGCGCCGGATTCTGTCCCGGTTGCCCCTCTTCCAGGCCAGCTCTCTGCTGTGGCCCGGGAGTGCAGTGGAGGATGGCTCAAGTGCTTGGGCACCTGCACCTGCATGGGAGACCAGGAGGAAGCACCTGGCTCCTGGCTTTGGATCTGCATAGCGCGCTTGCTGCAACGCACCGGCTGTAGAGGCCACTTAGGGGCTGAACCAACGGAAAAAGGAAGACCTTTTTCTCTGTGTGTGTCTCTCTCTCACTGACCAACTCTGCCTGTCAAAAAAAAAAAAAAAAAAAGAAAAAGAAAAACAAATCTGTGCATGTTCAGTACAGATGCCTTTGTTTTTCTTATATTTTCAATCCACACTTGGTTGAATCCTTGGATATGGAACCTGTAGTTACAGAGGCCTACTGTAATCTGATGTTGGATTCTGGATCTGTGTATGTGCTTGTGCATTGTGCATATGTGCACAGAGACAGCAGAGGGACTGACAGCTCCACCAGGACCAAGTCAGGTAAAAAGTGGTAGGTTCCTCCAAGGCAGCAGGGATGCTGAGGAGATCAGCAGTTTCTGTCAGCTTAAACAGCCTGGACGTGAGGTGTGTAGTCTCATTTTATGAGCCTTAAAATATATAATTACTTGTAAAACTTAGAGAAAGGGGATGAGATTTTAAAAATTTTACTTTTCATAAGGTTTTGGAGGATTATTTTTGTAAATGATTGCAAAAGGATCTAAAATAAAAGTTACTTCATGTGTCAGGGATTAGCAAACCAGAGCTCATGGTCCAAATCCCCCCCCCCCCCTTTTTTTTTCCTAACAGGCAGAGTGGACAGTGAGAGAGAAAGAGACAGAGAGAAAGGTCTTTCTTTGCTGTTGGTTCACCCTCCAATGGCCGCCGCGGCTGGCGCGCTGCGGCCGGTGCACCGCGCTGATCCGATGCCAGGAGCCAGGTGCTTTTCCTGGTCTCCCATGGGGTGCAGGGCCCAAGCACTTGGGCCATCCTCCACTGCACTCCCGGGACATAGCAGAGAGCTGGCCTGGAAGAGGGGCAACTGGGACAGAATCCGGTGCCCCGTCCGGGACTAGAACCCGATGTGCCGGCGCCGCAAGGCGGAGGATTAGCCTAGTGAGCCACGGCGCCGGCCCTAAATCCCTTCTAATACCTGTGTTTGTAAAGTTGGGAACACAGCCAGGTTCATTTGTTATATTTATGGCTGATTTCATGTTAGAGCAGCAGAGTTGAGAAGGTTTGCTAGAGATTGTACAGCTCACAAAACCTCAAATGTATAACTCTCTAGTCCTCAACAGAAAACACATCAATTCTGCCCTATCCACTGGCCCCTGTATTTAAGTACAGAGAGTTTCAAGTGTGAGGGATGTTTTATAGAGGGAGTCCAGGTGTTGTGAAGTTGAAATTAAGCCAGAAAGCATGATTTCTTAAAACTTCAATCAAATTTTACAGAAATATACTTATTTTCAAAAAATAAAAAGTTTCTGAAGGAGAACATAAATTTTCCCTCTGGAAGATAATTTATTTTCATAGGATAGCTGATGGATTGACTTTCTAAAAGTATTAGAAGTAATTTGATAATAACAGTATTATAAAATTGGACAGCAACAGTTAGAGAGACATGAGATGCTCAACAAAAGGGAAAGAAGTGAGAGTATGGAGAAATAAATGGATTAGAAAACTGAGAGGCCGGCGCTGTGTCGCAGCAGGTTAACACCGTGGCCTGAAGCGCCTGCATCCCATATGGGCATCGGTTCGAGACCCGGGTGCTCCTCTTCCGATCCAACTCTGCTATGGCCTGGGATAGCAGTGCAAGATGGCCCAAGTGCCTGGGCCCCTAGAACCATGTGGGAGACCCAGAGGAAGCTCCTGGCTCTTGGCTTTGGATCGGCACAGCTCTGGCCATTGCAGCCAATGGGGGAGTTAACCAGTGGATGGATGACTCTCTCTCTCTCTCTCTCTCTGCCTCTCCTTCTCTCTCTGTGTAACTCTTTCAAATAAAAAAAAAAGAGAAACAAAACAAAAAACCAGGACTTAATGGAGCTACTACTGTGCTGTATTTTTGCTAGATCTTGTCTAACCTGTAGAAGTGTAACCACTTTAGCAGAAGAGAGACATTCTCTGGAGTCTAGCTTTAGTTGTCTAGTATGTAAGGAACCGAGTATGGTAGAGGGATAGGTTCTCAAAGCAGATGTGACTAAAAAAGCTGGGATGTTTCATGTATTATTTCTCATAGATTTTCCCCCCAGCTTATTATGAAAAATATTAAAACACAGTTTTTATATTACACAGCTGTCTTATTTTTCATGGACTATCTAGGTGAGCATCTAGTTTAAATAGTAGTGTGTCACAGTAGCCCCTTGGTGCCCCTGTGCCTTAGAAATATTTGCGACTAAGCACTAACCCTTTGTGAGGGTAAAAATCACTTTGAAGGTCCATGTTTTCATCTTAAACATTAGTGTACATTTTGCAGTCTAGTTCTTATGCACATATTGTTTTAGTGTGTGTTTAATATTAGTCTGAAATAAAATTGACACTTAAAGGGAAATGTTAGATTTTCATTCTGGTCCTTGAGCATCCTTAGCATACTGCTATTCACCCTTTGGAGTTCATAGTCACTGGGTTAAAAAGCAAAGAAATAAGTTGTTCCAGTATGACGATGAAGAATTACTTGGTAAAGCTTGCTGAGCCCAACTTTTCTATTATTTTCACTTTGTTCTCTGAGCCTTGTGTTGCTCAGATTCAGTTGTGTGAGAGTGAGTATACTAAACATGGTACTAGGTTCTCTACGTATGTGCCAACAATTTTAAGATTTTTTTTTTATTATTTGAAAAAGTTACAAAAACGCAGAGGCAGAGAGCAAGGGAGATAGAGATCTTCCATCCGCTGGTTACTCCCCAAATGGCCACAACAGCTGGTGCTGGGCCAATCTGAAGCCAGGAGCTTCTTCCCGGTCTCCCACGCAGGTGCAGGGGCTCAAGGACTTGGGCCATCTTCCACTGCTTTCCCAGACCATAGCAGAGAGCTGGATTGGAAGAGGAGCAAGCTGGGACTCAAACTGGTGCCCTTATAGGATGCTGGCACTGCGGACTGTGGCTTCACCTGCTACACTGCAGCACTAGCCCCAGTTTTCAGGCCCAGTTTTTAGGCCTTCAATTTTCAGGAGTCTCACTTGGTAAGAGGAGCAAGGAGATCTGGGAGCAGGAAGGAAGGTTATTAATACACCTACAACAAATAGCCCCTCATTGTCTGCATTGTGATTTACAGATGCTGAGCACATGGAAAGTTGAGACAGCTTTTTGGAGCCTTGTACTATTCTCTTCTAAGTAGTGAATGTGCTTCTCTTGTTCACCTCACTGTCGTCTTTCTTTCAGGTTGGTGTGCCTGGAGATGGAAAACATTTTGAAAACAAAATTCGCAACACTGATTTAAGCCATACTAGCTTCTTAGAAAATGAGAGACTTACATCTCTGACCAGCTTGGAAGATTCTTCTGGTACTGTAATTTGATTTGCGGTTTCCTGGTTCCTTACTTTCCACTCTGCTGCTGCTTTGCCAACTTTCTGGTTTTTTTTTTGTTTGTTTTTTTTTTTTGTTTTTGTTTTTGTTTGTTTGTTTGTTTTTGTTTTTTGACAGGCAGAGTGGACAGTGAGAGAGAGAGACAGAGAGAAAGGTCTTCCTTTGCCGTTGGTTCACCCTCCAATGGCCGCCGCAGCCAGCGCGCTGCGGCCAGCGAACCGCGCTGATCCAATGGCAGGAGCCAGGTACTTATCCTGGTCTCCCATGGGGTGCAGGGCCCAAGGACTTGGGCCATCCTGCACTGCACTCCCTGGCCACAGCAGAGAGCTGGCCTGGAAGAGGGGCAACCGGGACAGAATCCGGCGCCCTGACCAGGACTAGAACCCGGTGTGCCGGCGCCGCTAGGCGGAGAATTAGCCTAGTGAGCCACAGCGCCGGCTAACTTTCTGGTTTTTTACCTTCACCTTTTCTTCCTACCTTTCAGCACTCAGATGGTCATTTCCTATAAGTGATGGGATTTAAAAACTTAATTCTGTATATCTTGATATGATTATTATCCTACAATTTAACATCATTGGATACAAAGTAGTCACCTAAAGGTGCCACTTAGTTAAAAGTCCCGGTCGGGGCGCCGGATTCTATCCCGGTTGCCCCTCTTCCAGGCCAGCTCTCTGCTGTGGCCAGGGAGTGCAGTGCAGGATGGCCCAAGTCCTTGGGCCCTGCACCCCATGGGAGACCAGGATAAGTACCTGGCTCCTGCCATTGGATCAGCGCGGTTCGCTGGCCGCAGCGCGCTGGCTGCGGCGGCCATTGGAGGGTGAACCAACGGCAAAGGAAGACCTTTCTCTCTGTCTCTCTCTCTCACTGTCCACTCTGCCTGTCAAAAAAAAAAAAAAGAAAAAAGTACTATGTGAAGAAATTAGGTAGCTGATGACATAGTTAGCCTCTACTCTCTCCAGAACCTCATCTAAGAGCAGAGAATTGTGTAGCTAAACTTTAGATTGTACCTCAACAGTACAAGAATCCTCTGGCCGTGTGTAGCAGGTCTGCAGCACATGTGGGAGGCCCCATTGGCAGATACACTTGGAAAAGTAGCTGGGGCCAGCTCATTCATGGCTTTGAAGGCTGGGCTGTTGAGCTGACTGGGCAGATAGAAACCATAAAGAGTGTCAGGACAGGGTTTGCTGAAAAAAGACATTTTCAATTGTTTTTGGATTGTGGAATTGTGGATAAGGAATTACTGAATTTATAAGATTTTTTGTTTCAATAGGTTTCATTCTTAAAGGTGAAATTATTAAATCAAAGGCTTTTTCTGTTGATTACTAAATTAACCTCTAAAAAGTCTGTGTCAGTTTATTATACTACTACCGTTATGAGATTCGCGAGCTTTCTGGTGCTTGTTGTTTTTTTTTTTTTTTTATTCGACAGGCAGAGTGGACAGTGAGAGAGAGAGACAGAGAGAAAGGTCTTCCTTTTGCCGTTGGTTCACCCTCCAATGGCCGCCGCGGCCAGCGCGCTGCGGCCGGCGCACCGCGCTGATCCGATGGCAGGAGCCAGGAGCCAGGTGCTTTTCCTGGTCTCCCATGGGGTGCAGGGCCCAAGCACCTGGGCCATCCTCCACTGCACTCCCTGGCCACAGCAGAGGGCTGGCCTGGAAGAGGGGCGACCGGGACAGAATCCGGCGCCCCGACCGGGACTAGAACCCGGTGTGCCGGCGCCGCTAGGCGGAGGATTAGCCTAGTGAGCCGCGGCGCCGGCCTCCTGGTTTTATCTTGCCCTTTCAGTGTCTCGTCTTCTCTCATTCATTCATTCTTTATTTTTATTTCTTCTATGATAGGCTTATCTACCCTTTTTGACAATGTTAACCACTTGCCACACCATTTTATGAAGAGCCTCTTTCCCTTTGCTTTCTTATGCTACATTGTCACTTGATAATATTCCAGGGTCTGTTTCTGCTGTCCTTTCACAGAGGTTAAATCCTCAGCTTGTATTAAAATGTTCTTAATGACTTGCAAGTGACTGAAATATTAGTAATTTTCTCATGTCAAATGTGAAAACAAAAACCGTTCATTGAACCATTTGTATCTTTCCAGGTTTTTTTGATTAAAATTATTTGTAGTTGAGTCACTACCTCAAAATCTTCTTATATTTTTGTCTATTTTGTCAATAGATGATGATATCAATGATGAAGAGTTTTATGATGATCATTTGGAGGCTTATTTCGAACAACTGGCAATTCCAGGAATGATATATGAAGACCTAGAGGGACAGGAACCTCCAGAAAAAAGTTTTAAGTTACCTACAAGTGATCCATGTCAGGTATGTTTAAATCTTTATGGTATTTCAAAAGTCTGGCCTAGAAAAATTCCCATTCGTTTCATTGGCTGTTAATGTTAAATTTAAGCCTTTGGTTTTCTTTGGACTCTTTTATCCAAATAAGGGTTGATGAGAAATACCTGTTTGTTCCTAATTCTTCTTTCTTACCTTACTCTAATCTACAACAAATGAAAAGATAGTACAGTGAGGGCTGGCGCCGTGGCTCACTTGGTTAATCCTCCGCCTGTGACACCTGGCATCCCATATGGGCACCGGGTTCTAGTCCCAGTTCCTCCTCTTCCAGTCCAGCTCTCTGCTGTGGCCCGGGAAGGCAGTGGAGGCTGGCCCAAATGCTTGGGCGCCTGCCCCTGCATGGGAGTCCAGGAGGAAGCACCTGGTTCTTGGCCTCGGATCGGCGTAGCTCCAACCGTAGTGGCCATTTGCAGGGGTGAACCAAAGGAGGGAAGATCTTTCTCTCTGTCTCTTTGTCTCACTAACTCTATCTGTCAGTGGAACAGCTGAGACTCAAACTGGCACCCGTATGGGATGCTGGCGCCACACTCAGTGGCTTTATCTGGTATGCCATGGTTCTGGCCCCGGCCATTTTTTCTATTTTAAAGATTTATTTATTTATTTGAGAGAGAGAGAAGAAGAACCAAAGAGAGAGAGTCCTTCTGCTGTTTCCCTCCCAAGATGGTGGCAACAGCTGGAGCTGGGCCCAAATGAAACCAGGAGCTTCTTCGGGGTCTCCCACATGGGTGCTTGGGCCCAAGCATTTGGGCCATTCTCTGCTGTCTTTCCTGGCCATTAGCAGGGAGTTGGATTGGAAGTGGAACAGCCAGGAAATGAACTGGCACCTGTATAGGATGCCGGCACTGTGGGCAGCAGCTTTACCTGCTATGTCCCTAACCAGTTGTTAATGTTTTCCAGTTTTGTGGTTTTTTTTCTCTGTCCATAAATGCTTCCTCCCTGAATCATTTGAAAATAAATTGTGGATAGCATAATGTTTCCCCCAATAAATCAACATTTATCTCTGTGAATAAGAACATTTCCCTTCATAGTCACAATTCTGTTACTTAACTTTGACACACTTATGTCCTTGATTGTGTCTGATCCAGAATACGGTCAGAGATTACACTTGCCTTGGGTTGTCCTGTTTTTTGTTTTGTTTTGTTTTGAGATTTGTTTAGTTTATTTGAAAGGCAGAGTTACAAAGCGAGGGAGACAAAGAAAGAGAGATCTTTCATCCTGCTAGTTCACTCCCCAAATGGCTGCACTGAGACCATCTTCTGCTTTCCCAACCACATCAGCTCCCTGGATTGGAAGCTGAGCAGCCAGGACTTGCACCATCATGCTAGCTTCATAAGTGGTGGCTTAACCTGCCGCACTGCAACATGGATACCCTTTTTATTCTCTTTTAGGAGTAGATTTGGAGCAGTTCTTTCAGGAAATTAAACACTGTATATAGTCTTGACTTTTTGTCTTGTAGAATGATTCCTTATCTAGATATATGTGACTTTTTTTTCCTCCTGAATTAGATTAAACATTTTGTCAAAATTTCAAATTAAACTTTTTTCTCATGAGTGGATTCATATTAAGTACTGGGAATGTTGTATTACCTCACATAAGGAGAAGTGTAATCCTATTTGTCCCACTATTGGTAATTGCTATATTTGATAGTGTTGGTTAAGATATTAATGGCTTTGTATATATGAAATGCATGAAATTTGTATACCTTAAATTAAAAGTTTCTAGGACAAAAAAAGGTAGTACTGGCTACATGTCTCCTCATGAAAGCACATCTTCCACTTTGTTGTGAATAAGTCTACGGGGTGGCACAGGAAGATCGTGTGATCATCCTGCTCTCCTCAGCCCTCCCTGAACTGGTTGTAGTATCTTTGCAGAAGCCTCCCTTCTGCTTTCATGACCTGGCTTCCTTCCAGGAAACAGCTGTTCTCTGCTGCCCATGTTTGCCCCCTCAAGATATATGATTTTAATGAATACAGCTAACATATTCTTTTAACAGGAAAATGAAAACAATGCTTTAACCTGTAAATTTCAATCAGAAAGTAACAGCTTTCTGATTTCCCATGGCTCACATTCTTCAGAAAATTCTGAAACAACCCACAAAGAGAGTGAGGAAGGCCATGCTGTTTGTCATTCTGGGATCAGTAAGTACTGAAATAGGATTCCTAGTTCTTTTTTTTTTTATTGTTGTTGTTGTTGTTGTAGATGTTATTTTTAAAGATTTACTTTATTTATTTGAAAGATACAGTTAAGGCCGGCGCCGTGGCTCACTAGGCTAATCCTCCACCTTGCGGCGCCGGCACATCGGGTTCTAGTCCCGGTCGGGGTGCCAGATTCTGTCCCGGTTGCCCCTCTTCCAGGCCAGCTCTCTGCTGTGGCCAGGGAGTGCAGTGCAGGATGGCCCAAGTCCTTGGGCCCTGCACCCCATGGGAGACCAGGATAAGTACCTGGCTCCTGCCATCGGATCAGCGCGGTGCGCCGGCCGCAGTGCGCTGGCCGCGGCGGCCATTGGAGGGTGAACCAACGGCAAAGGAAGACCTTTCTCTCTGTCTCTCTCTCTCTCACTGTCCACTCTGCCTGTCCAAAAAAAAAAAAAAAAAAAAGATACAGTTACAGAGAGAGAGAGATCTTCCATCCTCTGGTTTACTCCTCAGATGGCCGCAACAGCTGGAGCTGTGCCAATCCAAAGCCTGGAGCCAGGAGCTTCTTCCAGGTTTCCCACACAGGTTCAGGGGCCCAAGGACTTGGGCCATCTTCTACTGCTTTCCCAGGCCATAGCAGAGAGCTGGATCGGAAGAGGAACAGCAGATACTAGAACCGGTGCCCATATGGGATTTTGGCATTTCAGGCCAGGGCTTTAACCCTCTGCACCACAGTGCTGACCCCAGGATTTCTAGTTCTTTTTTTTTTTTTTTTTTTCTTTTTTTAAAGATTTTATTTATTTGGGCTGGCGCCGTGGCTCACTAGGCTAATCCTCCACCTAGCGGCGCCGGCACACCGGGTTCTAGTCCCGGTTGGGGCGCCGGATTCTGTCCCGGTTGCCCCTCTTCCAGGCCAGCTCTCTGCTATGGCCAGGGAGTGCAGTGGAGGATGGCCCAGGTGCTTGGGCCCTGCACCCCATGGGAGACCAGGAAAAGCACCTGGCTCCTGGCTCCTGCCACCGGATCAGCGCGGTGCGCCGGCTGCAGCACGATGGCTGCGGCGGCCATTGGAGGGTGAACCAACGGCAAAGGAAGACCTTTCTCTCTGTCTCTCTCTCTCACTGTCCACTCTGCCTGTCAAAAAATAAAAAAAAAACCAAAAAAATAAAGATTTTATTTATTTATTTGAGAAGTAGAGTTACAGACAGTGAGAAGAAGAGACAGAGAGAAAGGTCTCCCGTCATTTGGTTCTCTCTCCAAATGGCTGCAATGGCCGGAGCTGCGCCGTTCTGAAGCCAGGAGTCAGGAGCTTCTTCTGGGTCTCTCATGCAGGTACAGGGGCACAAGCACTTGGGCCATCTTCCACTGCCTTCCCAGGCCACAGCAGAGCGCTGGATTGGAAGAGGGGCAGCTGGGACTAGAACCATCACCCACATGGGATGCTGGTGCCTCAGGCAGAAGATTAACCTACTGTGCCATGGCGCCAGCCCCATGATTCCTAGTTCTTAAATTGTGTATTTGACTTCACCTTTTTCTTTAAAACAACTTTTTCCTTAAGATAATTTATTTGAAAGACAGTGTTACATGAAAAGAAAGGGATCTTACATCTGATGGTTCACTCCCTTGATGGCCACAGTGGCCCAGGCTAGGCTAGGCCAAAGCCAGGAACCTGGAACTCCATCTGAGTCTCCTACATGGGTGTCAGGGGCCCAAGCACTTGGCTCATCTTCCACATTAGCAAAGAGCTGGATTGGAAGTGGGGCAGTTGGGACTCGAACCAATGCTCATATGGCAGTGGCTTGATTTGCTGTACCACTGCACTGCCTGCCCACCTGCCCCCCCACCCCCTTTTAAAAGAGATTTTTATTTGAAAGGTAGAGAGAGCGAGCGAGCGAGCGAGTGCTCTTTGATTTGCTGGTTCATCCCCCAAATGCCTGGAATAGCCAGGTTAGACTGGGCTGAAGCTAGGAGCCAGAAACTCTGTCTCAGTCTCTCACATGGATGGGAGGAATCCATGTACTTTGGCTGTCATCTGCTGCCTCCCAGAAGCATTTGCAGGAAGCTGGATTTTGAAACAGAAGCAGAAGTAGGATTCTGTCCCAGGCACTCCAATATGGGATGTGGCTTAACCCACTGTGCCACAATGTGCCCTCCCAAGATTCATTTCTTTTTTATGATTGATTATATATTAATCTTTCTATCTTTTCAAATTTTTAGATAGTTGAAAACTTTTCAGAAGCATTTTTGATAGTGTCTAAGTAAATTGGTATCATTATTAACACTGGCATATATTTCTTGGTTGACTAATATGAATAATTTTCCTCTGACAGTTGAGAATTAGAAATAAATTCTGTATGATAGACTTTGTCATGTTCATTATTGCTTCTTAATGCTGTTTTCTTTCATATGCAGTTACTGAAGTTGTCAATGAATGCCATAAATGCTAGTCATTTTGTTTATGTAAAATTTGACTATCAGTAAGTAGTTTTACATTAGATTACCCAAACTTTGACACTGTTCCACTTTGTTTCTTTACTTTTCGGGTAATTCTGTAGGATCTGGGAACAGTAGAACACATGTAGATGGTTCATCACAATTTCCTTCTAGTACCTGGAGAACTGAGAAAAAAAGGACAGAAAGTTTGAAGGGTATTGTTCCAGATCAGAGCAGGGTAAGTTCATATGCATTGTATTTAAATTTGCTGTGAAAAGAAATGAATCTTTTGTGTTGTATGATACCAATTTTTTTCAAATAGTAGTTATTGTTGACTTCTGGAGAATAACAGAATGCATTAATGTCTCTGATAATATTTGTGTGTATGTATCTTTGATAACAGTATTGTACAATTGTATAATTTTCTTGCATTTAAATATTTAATAACTTGAATTTAGATTATTCACCTAAAAAGTTCTTCAGTTAATGTTTGATCATTAAGGAAAAAGTGAACTGCTTTTATCTTACTCCAGCATATTTATTTTTGTTTTTTAGTGTTTCTATTTGTTAATGGTTAATGTTACCCATTTCTCCTATGGTTGAAGCTTGGTAGTAACTTTTGACACTCTTCTATCCCTTTTTTAGTAATATGTGGGTCAGGATTGTAGGATGGTTTTTACTGTTCAGGTGGAGTATGTATGTGCTTACTAAATATGTGGAGAAGACAGTCATTTTATTCTTAGAGCAGTCCTCTGAGTATATTATAGCAGCAGGTGATGGAATTGTCAGTTCGGAAGACTCATTCTTGTTAGAAAGTTCTCAGGCTTATGTCCTGGAGTTGTTCTCTCCTGTTTATTTCTTTTACCCCTATTCAAGTTCAAGGTACTTATTCTGTCATGTTTCCATCTGATCAGTCTTGTTGGCTTTTTTTTTTTTTTTTTTTTTAAGATTTATTTATTTTTTTGAAAGGCAGAGAGAGAGAGAGAGAGAGAGATCTACCATTACTTTTGCACTTCCCAAATGATTGCAGTAGCCAGGGCTGGGCCAGGCTGAAGCCAGGAGCCAGGAGCTTCTTTTGGGTCTCCGTGCAAGTGCAGGGGCCATAAGACTTAGGCCATCCTCTTCTACTGCTTTCCCAGGCCATGGTAGAGGGCTGGATTGGAAGAGGAACAGCTGGAACTCGATCCAGGGCCTGTATGGGATGCTGGTGCTGCAGGTGGTGGCTTTAACTGCTACGCCACAGCGCCGGCCCTGTAGTGGCTTTTTTGTACTTAATATTCTGTCTGTTATCTATCATATTAATACTTCTTGAGTGCTATATAATCTTGACTCAATGTTATCTGTCTCTTTTACTCTTGTACATTTCTTCTACAAATCCTTGTTTCTAGTTTTTTTTTCCCCTTGCTTTCCTAATCCAGATTATGACCATCTTTCTTACTTTAGGTCATATACCTGGGTACTTTTAAATAATTGTAAACTATGTTTATTTGTCTGAACTCCTGTTATATTAATCATTCTACATATTTTACTTATCCAGAATTAGCTCTTCAGCAGATTCAAGAATTTGCAGCTCATTCCAGAAATCACTTAGGTACAAATAAAGTACAAAGCCCTTCTGTGGTCACCAGAACAGGTATTCTAGAATCTTTGGGTTTTTTTTCCTAGGACTGATTCAGAGAGAGATATCAGTGGTATAGACTTAAACAATTCTTTTTTTTTTTTTTTTTTTCCCGCAAGAGGAGCAGCCAGGACACGAACCAGTGCCCTTGTGGGATGCTGGTGCTGCAGGCAGAGCAGACTTAATGTAATTCTAAAATATTTCTGTTATCTAATATGTTTCTAGCCCTCATCCAATTGGAACTAACACATTAGGGGGAAAAAAGCAAGAAGAAACAACATTTATTAGTCCTTTTGACTTTTGTCAGAATGTGTTAGTTTATAAGTTTTATAAATATATCAATCTGTGGTATTTAATTTTGGGCTAGGGATTTTGTTCTGTTACAGTTTAGTAATCTTTTTTAAAAAAGATTATGTATATGCGAGGTAGAGTTACAGAAAGAGGGAGAGACAAAGAGAAGAAAGGTCTTCCATTTGCTTGTTTACTCCCCAAATGGCTGCAAATGCTGGAGCTGTGCTGATTGAAGCCAGGAGCTTCTTGTGGGTTTCCCGTGCAGGTGCAGGGGCTCAAGCACTTACACTGCTTTCCTATGCAGAGGAAATTTGTTTATGCTTTCTCATAAGCAGAGAGCTGGATTGAAAGAGCAGCAGCTAGGACTTTTACTCGTGCCCATATGGGATGCCAGCACTGTAGGCAGAGGCTTAGCCTACTACACCACAGTGCCAACTCCATAGTCTTCATTTAATAGTGACTGTTTGCCATTAAAAATGGAATATGTTGGGGCCAGCACTGTGCCATAGTGGGTAAAGCCGCTGCCTGCAGTGCTGGCATCCCATATGGGCGCCGGTTCGAGTCCAGGCTGCTCTACTTCCAGTCAGCTCTCTGCTATGGCCTGGGAAAGTAGTAGAAAATGGCCCAAGTCCTTGGGCCCCTGCACCTGCATGGGAGACCCGGAAAAATCTCCTGGCTCCTGGCTTCAGATCAGCACAGTTCCAGCTGTTGTGACCCACTGGGGAGTGAACCAGCAGATGAAAGAGCTCTCTCTCTCTCTCTCTTCCCTTCTCTGTGTAATGCTTTCAAATAAATAAATAAATAAATATTTTAAAAATGGAATATATTGAAATTATTATTTATTTGAGAGGCAGGGCAAGCGTGAGTACCCACTTCTGCTGGTTCATTCCCCCAAATACCTTTAAAGGCTGGGGCTGGGACTGGGCTAGGGCTGAACCTAGGAGTTGGGAATGCCATCATGGTGGCAGGAACCCAGTACTTGAACCATGGTCCCTGCCTTCAGGGTCTGCCTTTGGAGGAAGACTCAGCAGCCCATGCCAGGAATTGAACCTAGGTACTCCAGTCTGGAGTGTGGGCATCTTAACTGCCCCATTTCCTTTTAATATGGGTAAGCACTCAGAAATTGCTGGGAACCTTGAGTAGGTCATTTCAGCTGAGAATTACTGGGGATCTTCTCAGTGAGAGTTAAGTACTTGATGCACAAGTCATGCAGAGATAATCCTCTTTACTTGGTAGGAAAATAAAAGAAGTACTTAGATAATTGTAAAGTAAAGCCAAGTCCTGTTAAACTGCATGGCACTTCCTGTAGGAAGCCCCCAAGTTCTGATTGTGTTGTGTTGCAAAAATTTTTTGAAGGTGGAAATTTTTCCTGTTGTAAGCAAAGACATGATCTGATGATTCATTTCTGGCCCATCTTCTCAGGAAGTATTGAATACCTAAGACAGCTGATTCTGTAGGAGCCTAGGGATTCTCAATGCTGAAACCCCACAGAGGCTGCTAAGGAGGCTGGTGCATATGGGACAGGATGTGTGAACTTGTTCTCACACTTCTTAAATGGGGAAGAAATCCCTGCCTGCAGGTCACCCTTCAAATACATTATTGCATGAAGTGTCCATAGTTTTTTTTGTACTTGGAGTAGTACAGTTTGTGTTACTGTGAAGCAACCTAGTGGTATCCTTCATTTGGCAAGATCTGCAGCCCGTTTTTTTCTGTTGTGTGAAGTCTGTAGAACACAAATACAAGCTACTATCTTGAGTTAATCGAATTCTTTCTGTTTAATATGTTACTATACAAGGGTACTTTTGAAAGTTTTAGGAAAAATTAAAATCTATGCATAATATTTTCATACTATACATCTCCATGAGCTTTTTGAAGAATTCGTATGCATGGATTTAAAATATCTTGCAGTAAAGTATACTTACCTTTAATTCTATTTTCCACAAACTTTTTGAAGTACTGGCTTATCTTAGAAACAAATTGTTTTACCACTAAAATAGTGTAAATTTGGGGGAGTTGAAGGTGCATGGGTGCCATCTGGTGGTGAAAACTCTCCTTACCTAAAAAGGAAAAAATTAAAATAGCTAAATAAATAATTGAGGGTGTCAGCTTAACATTTGTTTGAATTCTTTTTATAGCTGGATTGTAAAACTTTGGGCCCTTTTTGAATCCTTTTATGTGTATCTTTTATTACATCCTTGTTCCCTGCACTGTTTATTACATCCTTGTTCCCTGCTCTGTTTCTTCAGTAATCAGGATATGTTTTCATGCTGTCCAGCATTGCTTTCTAATAATCTGGTAATTCTGCAAACCATGGTGTGAGTTTTGTATCTGGGATACTTTTTCTTTTTTAACTTTTATTTAATGAATATAAATTTCCAAAGTACAGCTTATGGATTACAATGGCTCCCTCCCCATAACTTCCCTCCCACCCGCAACCCTCCCCTTTCCCGCTCCCTCTCCCCTTCCATTCACATCAAGATTCATTTTTAATTCTCTTTATATACAGAATATCAGTTTAGTATATATTAAGTAAAGATTTCAACAGTTTGCACCCACATAGAAACACAAAGTGAAAAATACTGTTTGAGTACTCGTTATAGCATTAAATCACAATGTACAGCACATTAAGGACAGAGATCCTACATGAGGAGTAAGTGCACAGTGCCTCCTGTTGTTGACTTAACAAATTGACACTCTTGTTTATGGCATCAGTAATCATGGGATACTTCTTCTAAACGATACCCACCTTGCTTGCTCAGGGTGGGCATTTAGTATAGCAGTTAAGATGCTGCCTGGGACACTTAGGTCTGATATCTGGGTGCCTGGGTTCAAGTCCTGGCTTCTCTTCTAACTCCAATTTCCTGCTAATGTATACTCTGGGGAGGCAGCAGGTGATGGCTTGAGTAGTTGGGTCCTTTGTAACCAACCATGTGGTAGACCTGGATTGAGTTCCTGACTCCTGACTTCAGGCTGACCTAGCCAGGCTGTTGTTGGTGTTTGAGGAAGATGAAAGCTGATGAAAGATCTCTCTCAATATGTGTGTGTGTGTGGTGTGTGTGTGTGTGGCCATTTGTCATCATCATTTTCTGATTTTCAAATAGAAGGAAAAGAAAAATAAAATTCTTTTTTTGCTTCTTTATGCATCTCTATTTTCATGTTTTATATTTTTAAAGTGTGATAAAATATATACAACATAAAATTACCATCTTAACCATTTTTAACCATTTTTAAATGTATAGTTCAGTAGTGTTAAGCATGTGTACATCATGCAGCCAATCTCTGGAACTCTTTTCACTTTGCACAATTAAAACTCTATCCCCATTAAGCAA